ACTCTGCCGCTACGCCACAAGACCCCACCTTCTAGTTGGTTGTTGTTGTTTTGTCGCCCTGCATCAGATGCCTGTATAGGACCAAAGACGTTTTTTGCCGGAAAGTTGATGACCGTATCGCTTCTTTGTTTTTTCCGACAGACGGGTCGGTATGTACCGCGGCGGTCCGGCAGGAAGTGCGGGGGACACGGCGGAAGTTGTCCGCCCACCTGTTACATCCTCCACGCGGGCGACGAGAGCTTTCTTCTTGAGACTATTTACACTTTTGAGAAACCCGTGGTAGGAACTTGGAAGGTTGGTTCTCGTGACGTCATGTTGGTTCTGTCAAGGGCGTCTCTTTTCGGAAAGGACATTTCAAGGGCGGCTGGAAATCGTGCCCCATCACTAGGCCACAGCAAGTAATATGTATGGGTGACATCAGCACGCGCATTAATTTTCGCCTGTTTGGAGGGAAAAAGAGATTTTGTTGCCCTCTGACAGTGGTCAACGTGCCGAAAATGGGCAGTGCCAATGTATTGCCATGCCGGAAGGTGAATGACACATATACATATGAAGAGAGGAGAGGAGACAAGGCTCTGACTTATTGTTTTGTCTTTTACTCTGATGCAGTGATGTTCCCACTGAATCAAAACCTGACTGAGAAGTTTTATTTTTCGTTAAGTTGTTTCAGTGACAAATGGATGTTGTAATAGTTGGCAGTAAACTTAGCACAATATAGGTGTCATCATTTTAACAAGGTTTATGATGTCAAAATTTGAAATTGTAGGAATCTTGTATTTTTTTTGTCCCGCCTTGTTTTTTTTTCGCCCTATCGCATTAGATGTAGAGTCTGCGGAGGATGTCATCCATAAAATTGAGATGCTGTGGCCTTTAATATGAACAGGAACTAGAGCTGTGTCCCTGTGGTACATACTGTGGTTCACAGCTACCGGCCCTTGTACTTATGTTGTGGTTGAACTAACGTTAGGACAGAGAAGGTAGTGCTGTTTTTCTAACAGTCACGAGAAAGCTAGCCTTTACCAGGCTTCGGGAGACGGCTGGAAGGAGTAGAAATCGGTCAAATAGAGAGATAGCATGCCGAGGGAGTTGGTCCGCCAGAGAGTACATTTTGCCTTGCCCGTATCTCTCTATTTGACCAATTTCTACTCTTTCTTGCGCGGCAAACTGTTCTCTCCAGCAGGCCAACTCCCTTGGCATGCTACCTTGGCCGATTTCTACTCTTTCCAGCCGCCTCCTGAAGCCTAGTAGAGGCTAAGCGAGAAAGCCGTTCTAGCTTGAGAATATGTCAGGACCTGTAGAGAACCATGTCGAAGTGAAGAATGGTTCTGCAGGAGGACATGCGGCAGCGTGCATACACTTAGCTTGTACTTCTGTTGTGGTTGAACTAACGTTAGGAGAGAGAGAAGGTAGTGTGCTGTTTTTCTAACAGTCAAGAGAAAGCCGTTCCAGCTTGAGAATATGTGTCAGGACCTGTAGAGAACCATGTCGAAGTGAAGAATGGTTCTGCAGGAGGACATGCGGCAGCGTGCATACACTTACTTAGCTTGTACTTCTGTTGTGGTTGAACTAACGTTAGGAGAGAGAGAGAAGGTAGTGCTGTTTTTCTAACTGAGTCAAGGGAAAGCCGTTCCAGCTCGAGAATGGTGTGTCAGGACCTGTAGAGAGCCATGTCGGAGTGAAGAATGGTTCTGCAGGAGGACATGCGGCAGCGTTCATACACTTAGCTTGTACTTCTGTTGTGGTTGAACTAACGTTAGGAGAGAGAGAAGGTAGTGTACTGTTTTTCTAACAGTCAAGAGAAAGCTGTTCCAGCTTGAGAATATGGTGTGTCAGGACCTGTAGAGAACCATGTCGAAGTGAAGAATGGTTCTGCAGGAGGACATGCGGCAGTGTGCATACACTTAGCTTGTACTTCTGTTGTGGTTGAACTAACTTTTAGGAGAGAGAGAAGGTAGTGTACTGTTGTTCTAACAGTCAAGAGAAAGCCGTTCCAGCTTGAGAATGGTGTGTCAGGACCTGTAGAGAACCATGTCGGAGTGAAGAATGGTTCGACATGCGGCAGCGTGCATACACTTAGCTTGTACTTCTGATGTGGTTGAACTAACGTTAGGAGAGAAGGTAGTGTACTGTTGTTCTAACAGTCAAGAGAAAGCCGTTCCAGCTTGAGAATGGTGTGTCAGGACCTGTAGAGAACCAAGTCGGAGTGAAGAATGGTTCTGCAGGAGGACATGCGGCAGTGCGCAAACACCCGGCCCTGACCCCGTCTGTCGTACGGGCGGTCCCGACATTCCTGCACGGCTCGTGTTTTTAGTTCGGCTATCAGACGTGTTACACAGAAACACACAGGTGCGGCGGCTTCCTGTGGATTTGCCGTGCTCTAATGAAAGCTGCCGCTAAATTGTTACCGACTAAAAACACGGTCTCTCGGCAGGCGGGTTTGCACAAGCCTCTACCAGGCTTTAGAGTACTCTTCAAGCAGAGGTTTGGGTTTATTTTGGCGTGTTTTTAGGCTTTTATCAGGGTTTCTTTTTTGCACGGGAATTTTTTTTTTGGGGGGGGGGAGGGGATTTCCAGGGCAAAAAAATATCCCCGATAAAAAAAGCCTAAACCTCTGCTTGGAGAGGCTTCAGAGATGGCTGGAAAGAGTAAAAATGGGCAAAATAGACGGCTCTCAAACTGTACTCCTTTAGCCGGCTAACTATCCTGGCATGTCATCTGTCTATTTGGCCATGCAGTTTCTACTTTTTCCAGTCGCCTCCCGAAGCTTGGTAGAGGCTACGCTTGCACTGGTCTCTGTCACGACACTGATGTAGCCTCCTTCGCAGACTTGTAAGGTGGCGGCTGTATTTTTTTCGATGAGGGATGCGAGTTATGCCACAGCTAGGGAGAGAGCCCCCAACAACGAAACCGTTCTCTCCCTCGGCGGCAAAATCGTCCCTCCGCGGCATAACTCGCGTCGCTCCCCGAAAAAAAAAAAATAACGCCGCCGCCCTACAACTCTTTGAAGGAGGCTAACATTGATCTTTAATGAAGACCTTTATTGTACATTTGTGTTCTACAGAACTAAGTACAGGTCGCATGAGTACAGAGCATGAACATAAACATATACATTACAAATATATGAACATATAAGAGTGTAAATAAATGATGGATGGTCGCCAGCGAAAGACGCTTGTCTCTTGTCTCTTGTCCCGGGGACCGTGCGTCGCCAAGTTGTTGCCGGGAGCAGCGCCCGCCCATCACCGCACATCTGCGGCACGCTTCCCCGGCTGCAGTGATTGACACGCGGATGACATTTGTGGGTAATCCTCCGTACGAGCGCGTCCTTGTACATCCACACCGTGAACATACGGGGCGTTTAAGGAACTAGGTCATCCGTGGACGGCTCTGAGATTCATTCACAAATGTCAAGAGACAGAGACTTCCCCCTCGTTACCACAAGCAGCTGGAGGCTGTCTGTACGAAAGGAGAAGTGACCCAAGGCTTGGCAAACCGTGCCCGGCCCCCCCTCGGCCCCGGCCACCTGTCTGTGCCACCTGCTACAGTTGCAGAGCGGTGACAGGTGACCTCATGCAGGCTAGTGCTGGCGGGGCCCTCCCTCGACAAATGAGTCACTGGCAGGTGTCTCAGACTCAGTCTGCCAACCTTCCCACACACGTGCACAGACTAGTCTCTACCAGACCTACAACGCGGGTTCAAAAATAGTGAAAATTTAACAAAACAGGGAGAATAATTGGCCACCTGCAGGGGGTTTAGCTACTGTAGAGTTCATTTGCAAGGGGGGAATTAGATCCTAATGGTGGACCGTTTTCCTGGCCAGTCAGACCCAATTTTTGCCTAATTCTACCAATTCTAAGCCCTTTTATGAAAGCTCGGTGGAAGCCATGAAAGACACTCGCTTTGCATTGGCACCATAATAATGATATGATATGAATCTTTATTGCATGTTCTTGCCCAGATGGGCTAAATGCACAAGAGGATGTCCAGTAATGTAGAACATGAGTATTTCATACTGGTACGCTATATTCTAATGCAAAGTGCTAGGATCTACACATTACAATAATACTATAAACTACCTATCATCTACTGTTAGTTGCCCTTTCTTCTCTCTTTTTGAAACATTTGGAAACATAATTACTATAATAATCAATGAACGGAATGAAATGTATGATCGTGGAGCTCTTGTTTTATCTGTGACACACACACACACACACACACACACACACACACACACACACACACACACACACACACACACACACACACACACAGGGCGTACTGTCAAGTTAGTTATGACTACGACCAGGAAATCCACACTTAGCTGAAAGTTCCAGTTTTAAAGCTACATTATGTAACATTAGGACGATACAAAATTCAATTTTCTGGTGTTTTCTTTACAAAGTAAGTTGAATCAATCTTACTCCATTGCAAATAAATGCTTTTCAGGAAGTGGATGTGCCACAATATGACGCTTTAGGCTTTAAGAAAGCACTGCTGACAGCCATGTTTGTTTACATTCTAGTGAATTGTGGTGGCACCACAAACTGAGCGCGCCTGGTGTGGGCTGTTTTAGCGCCAACCATACATGTCAGAAATGTGAAATAATAGCACAAATATGTCAGAAGGTGGAAGTAAATCAGAATCACACTCATTTTTTTCAATAAAAATATTCTAATTTGGGGTGCAAATTGTTACATGATGCCCCTTTAAAGAAAGTCATACCAACCTTCCGTGAGAGAGGGTCATCAACTTGAGTTACGACTGATCCTTATGGGTTAGGCAGTATACGAGCGATAGACTGTTTTGGCGTGGGGAAGACTGGGTTAGGTTGTATGTACTACTACAGGTAGATGAAGGCACGTGCCCACTACAAATAGTGTCTGAACAGTCAGACATCCCGTAATCTCTGATACAACGACAGCAGAAGAGCTGAGACCGTAACATCTGCGCGTATTAAAACAAAATGCGACCCGTCTTTCCTATCGAGACTGCCGGCTGGTGGACCCGACACGCGCCGTGCAGCATGACAGAGAAACGCGACCCGGTTTTTGTAGGCGTGCGTGCCGGGTATATGGTAACATTATTTGGAAGTTGTGTAATGGGTGTTTCTGGCAAACAGCTAGCGTGGAATGTTAGAGTCCACAGGCTCCCTGGCGGTGACATGTTTTCAGGCATTAACTGGGCCGGACGGCTTGCGTGCGGCGGACACCCTGCCGGCGGTTATGCGCACCAATCATGTACCAGGGTGCTGGAGGTCAAAGCGAAGTTAATTTTGCCATTGGTTAGGCCATTCCTGGTCCATATTTAACTGCTTCTCTTCAGAGCACGTTCTGTGGGAGTTTTTAGGCCGTGTTTCCTGCTCGGGTCGCCGCCGTCGTGGTTGGAGGAAATCACAGTGAGTGTGACTGTACGTGAACTCATTAGTCAACAAGCAGGCTCTCTCAAACCTTCCATCCACACGGAGTTTTAGGAGACGTTTGTTGAGGGGTGTTGGTGAGTCACGTGGGAGGGCTTGCTTGTTTCCGACAGACGTCCACTACCACAGACGAGAGAGTGAACGCCAGAGGACATGGATCTCAGAACGCTGGCTCCCGTCTTCCTCCTCGCGATTTGCGTCGGAGACGTTCAGAGTAGCGGATACTCTTCCTCCAGGAGGCCGGCCTATAGCGGCTCGATCCCGACCGGCTTCAGGGTGCGCTATGTCTCACAGGGAACGGCCGCACGGACCACATCCACCAGTCAACACAGTAAGGAAAGGCAGGCATGGCAGCTGAGAGGGTACGTACCGAGACAATCGTATTGTCCACAACGTTTCAAATTTGTTAGTCGCCATGCTGAATATGTTGGTGGAAATATATATGCACCACCACGTCAATAGCTTCTATTCTCCAGTTTATGAATCAAGAATTTTTCTTGTACTAATCTCTTAGTGAGGCTTTCCTAACCTTTTTTTTTTCCTCAAAACTTCTGTAGGTAGAAAATGGGTCAGAGATTGTTTGGTTTGTAAGGTGACAGTAGTCGAGGGTCTGGCCGAAAGTTCAAAGGTGCAGAGCCAGGTACATGCCGGTCATGACAGGTTGATGTGGGCCATTAGCTATCGGACCGTGATCTGGTTGTTTTCGGTAGATAACCCGCCTGACTTCAGTATAACTCAGTAGTCGGACACGTTGTCGTAGATACGCCGATAAGATATCACTCACTCCGCCGTCGAACTGTCACCTACTGGTAGCAGCACAAAAAGTAGTTACCACCTAAACTGGATACAACCTAGTAGTAGCATAGCACTAGGTTTGGCACACTGATCAGAGAAAATGACTCGCCTCTGGGACAACCATCGGTTATTATTGTTAGTCTTTTCAACGAGTCGCGACTGAAAAGCCATTAGTCACTCATCGCGTCTGCTCAGGTTGTTCACCGCCTTTGACCGAGTCTACTTTTGTCATCGGTGATCTAAACCCCAGTGCTTTTTCTTCTCCTTGTTTTTCCTTTTCCAGGCCCAACGTCTGTTCTCCCAATAGATGCTGCCCCGGCTGGAAGGTCAATACAGTTAGTCGAACATGCACGACACGTAAGTGGTCTACTTTGCCTACTTTTTTTTGTTTGCCCCGTTCTCTTCAGTACGAAGTGGGGACGCTTTGTGTTTTTGATGGGACCTGCGCAAAGGTTAACCGTAAGGTTGACATCTCCCGGGGCGGAGGGACCCGAGGGTCGCGGGGAGGTTTGCTCCCAGCCGGTGCGGTATACCTGGGGAGCTGGTACGGGAATGTACCGGCTTGAGGGGATGCCGCGGCCCGGGGATTTGGGTATACATGTAGACTGTAAACAAGCGGAGTACGAACAGCCTTTTAGTCATGGATATTATGAGTCATGTAACTTGTATGTGAAAGGAATGCAACCGCACGCGGGTGGCAAGGACTCCTCTGTATCACAGCACTGTCGTCTGCAATTTTGATGTCAGTCATAGACTGGAAAACCCCAAGCTACTACTCTCCAAGCAGACGTTTGGATTTTGGCTTATTTTTGGCGTGTTTTTTAGGCTTTTTTTATCGAGTTTTCTTTTTTGCACTGGAATTTTTTTTACGTCAACCCAACAGTAAAATGGTTATCCCTAATGATAATTTGATGGTTCCCGGGGAGGAGCACTGTCACGTTTCTTGAATAGGTTTGCCCCGCCCCGGGGTGAGTGCTGGCTAAGGTAGGGTTGGGTGAAACAAAAAATCCAGTGCAAAAAAACGAACCCCGATTAAAAACAAGTTAAAACACGCCAAAATAACCCAAAACCCAAACCTATGCTATTAGAGTAGGCGGCACGGAGTCCTGTGTATCACTGCACTGTCGTCTGCAATTTAGCCTGGGTTCCAGACCGCCATAGCACACTGGACACAAAATGCCTCAGTGAGCCAGGCTCACTGAGATATTTTATGTCCAGTGTGCTATGGGTCTGGAACCCAGGCTATCTGCAATTTGATGTTACTCATCGGCTGGAAAACCCCGGGCTACTCTCGGTCTTGTGGCATGCCCGTAGCCAGGGGGGGTTCAGGGGGTTCGGAAGAACCCCCCCACAAGGCTCAAAGGTCCACTTTTTGGTCCACTTTTTATGAAAAGGTCCACTTTTTGGTCCACTTTTTATGTAAAGGTCCAAGATTTTTCTTGAAAAGATGGACTGGAATTGTAGAAAAACTGCTCCCTTTGTCATTGAATAAAAATTTATCTCTGATTTTTTCTTGGAAATCCTCTCAAAAACGTACGAAATGCCATTTTAGAAGGTTCATTTTTCAAAATTTTCCGGGGGGGAACCTCGCACCTATGGCGCTCGAGGTCCCCTCTAGCAGTGGGAAGAACCCCCCCATTCAAAATCCTGGCTACGGGCATGTGTGGCCTTTCGTAACAACCCTGAAACCGGGTAGATCACCGGCGACAACTCTGATGGACAAAGTCGCCCGCTAGGGGGGAGTGTAGGGACTCCTGTGTTGTCATCTTGGATAACAAGAAAGAGTATCGCGTTGCGTCTATATGCATAGAAATTAGGCCAAAGCGAGTAAATTTTATGGATGACATCAGCGCACGCATTAATTTTTGCCTGATTTTGGAAAAAAAAAAACCAAGACATTTTGTTGTCTTCTGACAGTGGTCAACATGCCGAAAATGGGCAAAGATGTCTGTTGCCATGCCGGAATGGGGATGGCAGATATCTATGAAGAGAGGAGACAAGACAAGGCTCTGATTTAATGTTTTGTTTCTAACTTTGATGCAGCGATATGTGATGCTAGCTGTGTATATATGATGTTCCCACTGAATCAAAACCATTTGTACAATGATTGAGTCAAATTTAAAAATGTAGGAACCTTGTTTTGTCGGCCCGTCTTGTTTTTTTCTCGCCCGCTCGCATTAGATTTGGAGTCTGCGGAGGATGTCATCCATAAAATTTACTTGCTGTGACCTTACGCACAAATCACGATGACGGACTGTCTGGCTAGGGCGATGTGATGTCGGCATGGCTAAGCCGGTTTTGATACTCAGTGTTCCAAACAGGGACGTCCCTTTAGACTGACTGAAACATAAATATGGGCACAGCAAGTAAATTTTATGATTGGCATCCTACACATACGACAAATCTAATACGGTAGGGCAAAAAAAAACAAGGCGGACCAAAAACCAAGATTTCTACATTTTCAAATGTTCGCATCATAAATCTTGCTAAACAAGAAATGATACCTATCACAGCACGAAACCAGACATTTAAGCAAACTTTCCGCAGTATGTGAAGAAGTATTAAAGGTGAGAAAATATTTCAGTAGACTTAACGACTTCGTAAAGGATGCTGAAAGGCAACTTCCGCCTTTCCGTCACCTTTCAGTGCGCTTAAATACGACGTAAACATATTTTATATCTTTACGCTTCCTTTACAAGTCCGTAAATATATTGTGCGAAGTTTACTGCCAACAACATTCTTAACTTTTACTCCAACTTTGACAAAACAATAAATCAGAGCCCTGTCTTGTCTTGTCTACCTTCTTCATAGTTATCTGCCATCCACATTCCGGCATGACAAGACATGTCATTTTACCCATTTTCGGCATATTGACCACTGTCAAAGGACAACAAAATTTTTTTTTCAAAATCAGGCGAAGATCAACATGCGTGCTGATGTAATCCATGAAAATCACTTGCTGTGGCCTATGTATATATATAATCCTCCAAATCTGTGTTTAAGGCAGGCGGAATGCACTGCTTTGTTATGAAGAATATGAACCCGGTCTCAAGGGATATGATATGATATAGCAAAAGATAATCTTAGCCACCGACGGGTCATTCCTGGCGAGTTGCTTGGATACGGAATACGTTATGACGCCATGCAGATTATCAAAGCTCCAGAGTTATTATATAGTATAGTCTTTCGGACAGTCGTCCCCAATTTTGGTGGTGCAGGTTTCATATTTGCCGTTAGGGCTGTAGACGTAAATATGGTAAGAACTATGTCTTTTGCAGCACACCTAAATCACTATCCCGAAGAAAAACGTCTGTTTATATATAAGCAACAACTTAGAAGAGATTTTGGACAACTTCAATCGTTGAATACAATTTCTGACGCGATAAAACAACCAAATTTACAGGAACTTTTTCTGATGTACTACTATTGGCACTTCACTGAAAAGAGGGCTCTCTATAATCTCCAAGCAGATTCCTTTCGGTGGCAAGACAGTATCCATTAGCCAGAGAAGGTCGCCGGCCACCGACGGGTGGTGGTAGCGACAGAAAACGGCCATATATAAAAAGCTAACGATCATTCCCCTCACAACCTCTGCTTGGAGAGTAGCTCTCTATTCCAGCGTCAATATACGTCACGGATGTAGAGGAAAAGTTTTTTTGGTTGTGAAGCCACAAATAAGGGCATCTCACCAGGCCGACTCTCACCACAGTTTCCGTCAGTACTGTTGGAGACTAGTGGGTGATCTCATGCGTGGGCCTAGGAGAGAAAAACACGATGAGTCATGTTTTCCCTTCGATTGTGGTCGTCCCTGAAACAGGCGGTGTTTTGAATTCTGCACATGGGAGACGTGCTAACAACAAACCAGGGGGACGGGTGACGCGGTGAACACGAGAAGCTCTGGCTCCAGGCCAGGACAGGACTAGTATGGAGGGATTCCTAGGAGTCTTTTTTCTCCCCTCCAAGCGTGTCTGGTTGTTATATGTTTGGATTCGGTAAACAATGTCGGGAAAGGTCAGGATTTACATCGACGGGAGGGCCAACCTTCTGCCGAACAGAAAGTCCAAACATCGTCGCTACATGCTCCTCTCCGGCTGAGGTCAACTGTGACGGAGATATATGGTGTTGATTTTTGCTTTCAGAACTTGATATGATTGAGAATATGCGCTGCTGGGGTATAGAAATTTTAGTTTGCAATATAGTCGTTTGTCTGACGTATTGGCCAGGACATGCGGCTTGCCAGTCACCAGTATTACGTACCCCGTCCCACACAAAAAACGACAGTTTACACTAATTTGTCTTGAGGTTTTTTATCTTTCATATTTACGGCAGGAAGTCCCCGTAAGCAAACAGATAAATCAGATTACTGAAGGACTCGGCGGGCCCCTGTGCTATTTCTTGCCCGACCGTCGACCTCTCGCCGGTTATTCATAAACCATCCAGACCAACCGTCACGTCCAGGCGGGTAGGTACACCGCGCTTTGCGCTGATGTTATGTTTTTACGCGTGTCGCAGTCTACGGGATACGTAGCGGGATAGAGACAGACGGACCCGTCGTTGGTTAAAAAGACATCTGCTATCAAGTTGCGTGGCGTATTGCCAACACTAGGGATTTTCCGTGCGTCTCTCACAACAACAAAGAGCATGTGTCTCCGACTTTTGACACGGAAACTCGCCCGTGGTCATGTACTGTATGTGATATGACGTGCCTTCTGCGCGTTTCTAAGAAACCGCTGTTTGGTTCATGTTGACCAGCACAGTTACAGCACGATATCAAATCAAATTCAAATCAAATACAAATCAAATTTTATTCGGTAAGGCTCTCGCGGGCAAATACCCGAATTTCGTCCTTACTGCATACATGTAAGTACATAGAGCATTAAAAACAATCATTTGTGACACTCTTCATTGTACACATGAAACAACATAGGCAAACACACTATGAAGACATATTCGAAGACGATTACACAATTAAAATCTATGCACAATATTCAGTTATCACGCAGGATTTAGCTAGGTACTATATATATATATAACACTACTGCTGAATTGTCTTGTTATAGAGGCGAACAGCGCAATGAAGGAACGAGTTGTTAAGTCTCTTAGTCCGGGCTTTAGGTAGACTGATTGTGCCAGAGTTTCTGAGTGACCGTCCCGTGGCACCTGACCTAGTGGGCGGAACTAATATCTTTTTTACCTTCGCCAAGAAGGTTATGTTTTCAGTAGCGTTTGTCTGTGTGTGGGTGGGTGTGTATGTGTGTGTGTGTGTGTGTGTGTGTGTGTGGTTAG